CACCCGCCCTCCCCACTAGACAAACTCCACAGGCTGCTCGTCTTGCCCTGGCTCAGCCGCAGCCGCCGGCCGGTTCATATTCATGCGCCGTCGGAAGACCGTCTCCCTCATGACACCGCCGTCACCCTGTTTGTCGAACACACCCGACCTGAGCGGCCCGAACGCCTGCACGAGTGACGTGCTGTTGTCGCCCTTGTCGCCCTTGTCCTTCTTGTCGTGGTTCTTGTGCTCATCGTGGGCGCTGGCACTCTCGGCCTCCTTGGGTGGCGGGGCGACGGGGTGGTTCTCGTGTTTGACTTGGTGCTTGGGCGTGTGTGCAAGTGGCGGGAAGTCGCCGGCCTCCTTGAGGTGTGCGGTGACGTTGACGTACAGAATGGCGCTGAGGGCCACGACCAGTGTCACCACCAACACTGTGGGACCTGAAACAAACAAGGAAGGAGCAAGGGATCGAGTCGAGGAGTGTATGTCTTGTTTGTCTGTGTGTCTGTCTGTCTGTCTGTCTTGGCCCTGACTGACTGACCTACCGAGCTGGTCGTTATAGTTGAGGGGCTCTTTCCGCTCCAGGGCACGGGCGCGACGCACATACACCTGACATACATACGAATGTTATAACAGGCGAAGAAATGTCTGGAATGTACGTGCGGTGGGCCGACCGAGTACGAGTAGATGATGAAGAATATCCCAACGGGGGCCATGATCAAACCTGCACGCAATCAATTCCATCAATCCATCACGGACGATCTCCCACGCACCCCCGCACGCACCTGCAATGAATGAGGTGGATGTGCCCAGGTTCAGGATGGTGATCGATATGGTCGACAGCAACACAGCCACATTCATCCACTAACACACACACACACACACACACAGGTGTGATGCTCTCGTTGCTCCCTCCCTCCCTCCCTGGCCCGCCCAGCCCGTCGCAGCCCAGCCCACTTGGAGGAATGTCCGTTCGTTGGCGAAAAACACCTTGGGCTCCACACGCACCGCCGCCTGCTGGGGCGTCGGCACACCCCTCGGCCCTCCACCACCACCACCACCCACTCCCGGGCCGCCAGGTCCAGGCGGCCCACCCGGCCTGCCCTCGATGCGTGGCCGCCGCCTCGTCCAAAAATCCGGACACCATCGGCTCCTGGCCGGGCTGTGTAGCTCGCGAGCGTCCCTCTCGCGTGTAGGCCGTCTCGGGGGCCGCTGCTCGCCCCCTCCGCCCGCAGCAGCAGCGGTCGCTGCTGCTGGACGGGCAGCCTTCGGAGGGAACGCAGCACCTGATGCCGATCCGAAGCACTCAGACAAGTGAGTGCGTCTGTCTGGTGTGTTATCTATCGGTCGGCTGGTAGCCTTGCTGCTCGTGCTGTGCTTACGTTCTCCCCTGAGCAGAGGCTCTGAGAGTTCGCCGCCCACGTCGACAGATCTGGGTGGTGGTGGGGGGAGTGGCCGCGCCATGAGTGCCTCGGGTGACTGGTCCGCATGGGCCACGCCGCTCGCGGACGCACTCGCGCCACCCCTGTCGCCGGACGCAAAGCGATTGATGTGGTCGGCCATCTCCTGAAGACAGACGATGGAAACATAGATAGACAGATGAATGACATGGGAGATGGATGCGATTTGATGGTTTGTTGGTGGGTGAGGCGCTGACTGACATGGAATGAAGTGTTTTCGTGCATCAGTCGGGCGCTCTCGCCGACACCGATGACATCAACCTGGTGCTGAGGATGCTGAGACAAAGGTAGAGGAGCCGTACACAACAAAGACGTGGACACAGAAGAATGAATGAGCGCTGTGTGTGGGTGGGTGGTTTCTTGTCCAATCTCACATTTCCCTCACTCACCTCAACGAGCGTGGGTCTAGCGGACGGCCCCTGCTCCTCCGACTCATGCTCCTCGCGGTCATCCTCCTCCTGTGAAGGAAAGTGTGTGTGTATTTATTGCACGTGTGCATGTGTCGTGCCGATGTGTAGCAGGTGTGTCGTGTCAAGCCATGCATGCCTACCTGGACAGCATGCTTGAACCAGTGTGGGTATCGCCCGGTGCCCAGCTGCTTGCTGTGGAGGAAGGCCATGCTGTGGATGAAGCAGGAGAAGCCCCACACCTCCGTCACGTACGCCATACCTGGCACGCAGGCACCCAGCCACCCACAGATGCGGTGCATCCGCTTATCCCGATCCCGGCCGTCATGTGTGTGTACCGCACCGGTGAGTTCTGAGAGCCATTCCCACTCGGTGCCGTCTCTGCCCCGGATCGACACGTCCAAAACGGCGAAATTCAAACCCACGATCTCCTGAATGAACAGTCGCGCACACACACACACACACACGAGCAGCCCACACAGAGAGGGGTGGTTTTTGCAATCACTGCAGGGGACGGATGGAGGGTTTGGGCGTCATAGGCTTGTTACCTCTGACGCACGGGCCTCTGTGCTGGCACGAACCCAGTCTGAATATATAGGAAACGTGGACGTTGCGTGTGTGCTGTGCTGTGCTGTGCTGTGCTGTGGATGGCATGTGAGTCTCTCTGTGAGTGTGTGTGTGTGTGTGTCTGACTGGCAGCGTCTTTTGCCGGGACGTCTTCGTTCATGAAGCGCACTTCCTCGTCCAAGTTGATGAAGATGTTGCCGTGCTCACCGCTGCAAGACAGACACCGGCAATCAGAGAGAGAGGGGCGGACAGACAGACATCAGTAATGACACCAGAAATCATATGCTGGGCTGGTTTTGCCCACCGGAATGATGATCGGTGAAAGGTGGCCCGCACCATGGGCTTGGCCTTCTTGTCACGCAACCTGGAGCCAAACACAAACACATGCGTGTGAGTCATGTCATGATGCGGCGGGTGAATTGGTGTGGCTGTCGCGTTCGTCGTGTGGTGTCTGTCTTATGTTGATTGTCGGTAGGTACCTGGCGATGATGTTGTCTATGTGCTGCTTCTTGAGGGTCAGGTTGACGTCAGACATACCCAGCTCACGCTTGCGACCCAACCTGAGACACAAGCCAGCCAAGGCACACATACACTTATTCGTTCGTTCATTCATGCGACATCGAATGATGTCATGTTGTTTGCTCTCCCATCTGTCTGTCTGTCTCGAGTGTGGTCCCCCTGACTCACTCACCATGCGTCCATGTCGAAGGTGCCGTCGAGGATGCTCTTGATGTGCCGCTGCTTCACCGTCGCACAGCGAGGCAAGCCACTCTCCTGACCACACACAACACACCAAAATGCATTCATTCATTCATTGAGTGAGAATCTTTCCGCGCTCACCTCGTGTGTGACTTTCTCGGGCCACTCGAGTGCATCGTGTGCTGGCTCGAAGGGGTTCTGCAGCACCATCGCTATGTCTGACGTGCGTGCCATGCATGGCAGCGGAAGCACACACAAGAGCGGCCGGTCTGATCCGTGTGAGAGGTTGTGAAAACATACCTTTGTCTGGTTGGTTGTCGTTTTCGCCCTGCCACTGGAATCGGATGATCTGGGTGGGCTGCCCGCGACCGTCCTGACGCTGATCCAGCACCTCGTAATACGAATCTGACACACACACACACACAGACAGTCGTACCGCCGGTCGCTTGCAGTGAGTTGTGCGTGACCTACCGAGTGTTTCGTTGTCAAAGTAGATGTAGCTGGTGAAGCTCCGGAGGTCACTGACAGACACACAGAGATACACACATGTGTGTATGTATCCGAACGTGCAGGCAGGTGGGTAGGTAGGCAGGGATTGTGTGTGTGCTTACGCTCCGGGCTGCACGAATGCGGTCTGCAGCGGCTGGGTGAGGGGATTCAGCACCTCGTGCTGGATCGAAGGCTGACCGGTTGATGGGTGAGAAACACACACATTGGGTGGCTGGCTGGGCTGCATGGCATGGTGTAGGCTGGTGTCACTCACGTATTCTAGTTTCTTGCCGCCCTGCGCGAGCAGTGGCACGTGCTTGATGATCTTGACCTTTACCCTATACACACGTCACGCACCACACCAGATGTGGCGGGGCCGCCCCTGTGTGTCCATGTGCCCACCTCATGCTCTCGGCGTTGATCCAGTACTTGACGCTTCGGATTTCGTTCTCGCCCACCGGCTCACCAAACGCACTCGCACCCACGGTCCCAGACACACCTCGACTGACTCACATGAATGACACCGACTCACAAGACTTGTGGAGTGGAAGGGATGAGCCTGTCTCGATTGATTGACGTACCTTTGTGGGTCACTCTCCGAGGCCTCCATGGCGTGGAGCCTTCTGAGTTCAGAGTAGCAGACGCTGAGGATGGACAGCAGGTAGTCGAAGTCGATCAACATGAACTGCTCCTTGGTCAAACGCGACATGAACCTGCACACACGCGGAGAGAGTAGTGCAATGCACAGGCGACACAGAGTGAGGGCAGCAGGCCCATGTTTGTCCAGGTACACACACATACATACGTACCACGATGCAGCGGCGGATCTGTTGTTCTTGTCGTATTTCTTGGTGATCTTCCGGAAGCCGGTGAAGTTGAGCGACTTGTACGCATCCAATATCACTATCTCCTCAGCCTGCACACACGCAACCAACACAGCACGAGGTAGGTGTCCCTGCCCTCATTCTCCAGTGTACAGGCAGTCACCCACTCCCTCCCTCCCTCCGTCCGTGACCTGTGAGTCGATGGCGTTTTCGATGGACTCGAGCTCGTGGATGAAGTGGGACGGGTCTGGAGGCTCGCCAGACTGGTGCTGATCCATCAGCTGACGGATGTCCTTCAGCGCTTGCCTTCATCACCACGCATAAACGTACGTACATGCAGAGTGGTCAGTCAGTCATGCAGTCCGCCTGAGGTGAGCTGTCTGTCCCTCTTACCTGAGGCTGCCGACGATGGCCGTTGCAGTGATGCCCGCGAACTTGTTGATCTTGTCCAGCTCATGATTCAGCAAATCCTGAAAACGCGACTCGGGAGGCCTGCACCACACCAACGCACACAACAAACACCGAGCTGTCACGCTGTGTGTGTCAAGGATCCTCCCTGCCTGCCTGCCTGCCTCTGTGCCTCTGTGCCTCTGTGCCTGCCTGCCTGCCGAGTCAGCCACCGACCTGTAGATGGATCCTCCGAGCGCCCGAATGTTGCCGAAAGACTCGGTGACTTCCTTGATGGTGTAGGAGGACACATCGCTGCCCGTGATGAGCTTGATGGCCTTCTTGAGCTCCTTGTAAGAGATGTAAAACTGACGGTACTTGGGCTCGGCCAGCTCCTGCAGACGCTTCGCGAACTTCATCACGACAATCAATCAGCCGCAGGGAAAAAGGCGGGAGCACGGAAGCCGATTCAAAGGGAAAATCTCAATCAGTGAGATGGCCGCTTCGCGTCTCGAGGGTGGATCTGCGCATCAGCCGCTCAGTCATGCACCGCCCGCCAGCGTGGTGATGATGAGTGCCCTGCAGACCTCTGCTGCGGGCGTCTGCGCTCGATGGGATCTTTGCCAGTGATCAAAAAGAAGCACAGATGGATGTGGAGGCGCCTCCCTCAACAGGATTGATTTTCAGCCAAGCTCGCAAGAAACCCGAAACTCGAAACCCTGTCTCAGACCCCGACCGCGACTTGCCATGCAGGCGCCCCTCTTCTTCATCTTCACATTCTTGGCACCGCTGAGGCTCATACAATGTGACGATCTCCATAGTCATGACCATCACGGCTTCCCTCACCAAACCAACACGGGCAGCGCCTTTCCATTGCCAACACCGCCCTCACGGCGAAGGCTGCACGTACACGCCTATCCATACATCGATCACGATGCCCGCGGGTCATCTACCTCTTGTGCTTGTATGTGGTTGTTTGTGTTTTCTTCTCATCAGGCCCACGAGAAGGAGCGTCTGCAAAAGGACTGGGACGACACCAAGTTCGGCAGCGTTGCTTACCCCCAAGGCCATCCCCACTACAGGACCGGGAGGCGGCTGCAGATCGCCTCATCGCAGTTCGAGCCCATCCGCGTCTTAGTTGATGACTCCGAATTGCGTGATGACTACGCCTTTTCCCCTGCACTGCTGGACTATGCGGTGAATGACCTGTTGCCGGCCGCCGTGAACATCGTGAAGCGGTCACTGAGAGTCATCCCTGTCGAGGGGAACCTTTTGCTTCCCCGGGCGTGTGGGTTCCGGTGGAGTTCAGTTGAAGGGGCTGATCCGTCCGACCCTGACCTGTGCCAGACCATTTCCCTCAACTACAACACATGTGGGGAGAAGACTGGAATACCGGAGGACCACTTTGGGTAAGTGAGGCGAGAGAGGACTCAATCGGGAACCGGGCGATTTGTGGGGGCTCATGTCTCTCTGTCCCCCATGTGTCTCTTGCTCAGCAAGACATTCCGGTGCCCCATCACGCCTTCGCAGTGTCAAGTCATCGCAGCGGGCACCGGTCTGAAACAAACCGATTTCGTGCTCTATGCCACGGCCAAGGACACACAAGTGTGTGGGTTCGGCACAGTCGGCTATGCCGGTGCGTGCATGCGGGACCAGTTCGATCGCCCGGTAGCAGGATACATCAACATCTGCCCGAGCCGCATAAACGGCAACAACGACCCCTTTCTATGGAGGGAGGAGGTTGGCTTCATCCTACACGAGATATACCACAGCCTCGGCTGGAGCGGCGTCGACGTGGCCTTCTTTCGTGCCCAGGATGGCACGCCACTCAGCCCGAGAGAGTCAAATGGCCGGTATGCGAGACACATGGCCTGTCCTGTTTCCTTCGCACTCCAGCCTTTCAATCTTTCGTCTGCTAGGCCTCCGAGATCCTCGGATGAAAACCTGCGCTACCAGGCCCCTGACTCTGTGCTTGTGCTAGAGACGAGTAAGGGCATTACGAATGCCAAACTGAAGACGCCCAAGGTGGTTGAGAAGGCGCGAAAGTACTTTGGGTGCGACACGCTCGACGGTGTTTACCTGGAGAACGAAGGCGAGCAAGGTACAGCTTCTTGGAGGCTGACAGCGGTCTGCACGTGTGTTGACTTGTTGGTGTGTGTGGGTGCGTGTTGGTCAAGGTTCAAAGTATCAGCATTGGGAGAGGCGTCTCGGCCCCTTTGAGGTCATGTCACCGGTTACTTCAGAGTATCCTGTGCTCAGCCCCCTCACTCTCGCATACTTTCACGACAGCGGCTGGTGAGCGAGCGGCGAATACACCTTTGAGACACACATTCTTGTCGCCCACGACTATCGGCAAATGTAGGTACAGAAGTGACTTTAGCACTGCGGGCGAAATGATGTGGTACTCACAGAACGGCTCACAACGCATGTGTCTCCGCATATCCACCTATCCATGTCTTGTCAGGGGTCGCGACGAGTTCACCGGCGACGGCTGCAAATTCGTTAGCGGCCCATGTGTCTCGGCCTCGCAGCAGGCGGAGATCGAGTCTACCACATCCACATCCCCCTGGTGCCTTGCAAGAGACCTCTCCCTGTGCACGCAGAACAGGATGGCAAGAGGGTATTGCACAATCGGCGTTGCGAGCGGGCCATTGCCAGAGGCCTTCTCGTATTTTAGCGATCCGACTGTGGGGGGCTCTGGAATCTTCATGGACTATTGTCCGGCCAGGGAGGCGTATAGTGATGGCCACTGCACCGACGAAGCCAGCTTCCTTGCCGAGTGGGCCCAGGAAGGCCAAGCACATAGCCCGACTTCGAGGTGTTTCCACAGCGATTTGATCCGCACGGGATTCCAGTTTGTCGGCGAGCCCTCGCCGATGCTCAGGGGTACGTCTCCACATGCGACAAGACAACACATGCGACAAGACACCCACTCATTTCTCCATGTGAACCCATGTCTTGAGCATGTCTGCGCAGGCCAGTGTTTCCCCCGCAAGTGCATCCAGAGCGGCACACTTGCCGACGGAACGCCCGTGTACGGCGCAGTGGAAATCACAGTGAACAACGGAGTTCTCCAATATGTTGTCACATGCACCGCGTCTGAGGCCGGCGTGCAGAAGACCGTGCCGAACATGAGTGGGAGCCTGCAGTGCCCCAGGATCAACACCGTCTGCTTCGGCTCGCCGTGTGAACAGGGAGGCGTGTGGAAGTACAACCGCTGCGTGTGCCCTCCGGGGTTCATCGGAAAACACTGTGAGCTGCTTGACCAGCACTCCGTGAGGGAGCAGGTACCCAATGGCTACTTCTATGACCCGCAGGATGTCACTCTCCTCGGTCAGCATTTCATCCTACACACAAAGACAGACGCCATCTCGTGTCCTGCCGGCACTTTCTTTGTGTGTCTCACTCACTCATGCAGTTGGCAAATACTATGAGTTGTCACCGACCATTCAGGGTCCCGTGAGCTCCTATGCGCGCGTTGTGAACCTTCCCGACGGCATGTGGATAGAGCCAGAGACCGGCATTGTGAGGGGCGTCCCCACAGCACAGAGCGGTCGGCTCACTGGGCACAGACTTCGTGTCTCGCTCGTGTGCCTTCCTTGACTTCCTACTGCTCTCGTCTTTTCAGACTGCAAGGTGTACACGGTGAAGGCCATTGGCGGCACTGCTAACGAGGAAGCACGAGCTGTTGTCCTCATCCGTGTCGTCAGCAGCGCCGCAGACGCCCCAACTGACCCCTGGGAAGACTGCCCTGTCTTTCTGGAAGGGGTCGACCCGCCAGCAGACCTCCCCACCCCGCCACCCACCATAGCCCCTCCTGACGATGGCATTATCGACCCAGGCGGCCCGGGGGTGTGCATTGGCAACGAGTGTGAAGTGTCGACGACACCGAAGCCATCGGGGGGGGGCGACGATAAGGTTGACTGGGGCGGGGGAGACACGACGGGGCGAGCCGCCAGGAGGGGGGCAGAAGTTGCTCGGACTGCTGCAGCCTTGGCGCTGGGGATGGCTGTCTCGGTGGTGTGGAGATGACAGCCTGTCGTCTTGTTTGCTGTGCATGTCTCTCGGCTGCTTTGTCTGTGTGTGTGTTTGTGTGTTTTGGTTTGGTGAACGAAGTGCTGCCTCGACGGGCGACTTCCTCCCTGCACGAAGTGAGACAGATCTGATGTGCCTGCCTGCCTGCCTGCATGGCTCTCAACTGTGCTGCTGGCCATTGCTGGCTGTCGCTAGGGGTGGGTCAGTACATTTGGGATTTGTTCAACCTGCCGGTTAGTGTGGTTTTAGTGTTGTACTTGACAGGCAGCGTCGGTCAGTCGACATCTCTTGTTCTACCTGGCATGCATGTGTTCAGGGATCAGATGCAATGCATGACAGACCTTGTATGTCTTGTCGATCTTTGTGTGACTCTGTTTGTTTGGTGGGGACAACTTGAAGCTTCTCACAAACGTGCCGTGCGTGCCCACGGACGTATGACTCGCCCGTCATGTCAGGGGAGCCTTCGGACACAGGGTAGCCCAGCCTCGTGTCTCAAAGGCGGGCGAGCACGTCACGAACGACTTCGATGAGGCCTAAGGCGCGTACGTTCACATGTCGTCGATTCATGTTCTGCAGTGATTGGGCTGTGTCTCTTTCAGGCATGCACGGCGGACGAGATAACAAGCCGGCTGGACTGATTGCATGAATCTGCCTGTCTCTCTCAGCGATGCAAGTGCGTGTGAGCGAGTGATCGATGCGATGGATGGGATTCTCTCGACGGGACGCACCTTTTGCATTGCATGTGCAGATAGAGAGAGGCAGCCCACCATGGCGCAAAACGTGTTTGTTCCCAGAGGGCTGGCTGCATCCTATCCTGCTGTTCCTCCACGGAGCATCCATCGGTCGACTGATCAATCCTCACGCATCAACGCTGACGGTCCCGTGTGTGCTCGCTTCCATGTGGCGCAGCTACACCTTGTCGTCACCAAACCGGAGCTCAAGGAATGCGTAGACGCAAGTTTCGCGCCTGTCTGCACTCCTTGAGCGCCGGCATGGTGACGACAAGACGAAGCCGCGCACTAACTCACATGAAATCACATCACTCTCACACCACCCCCTGTCCTGTCCGTCATGCCCTCCCTCCTCTCTTCCCCAACGCAGCGGCAAGAGAGAGCCAAAAAAGACGGCGCCTCGCTCCCTCTCTCGTGCTCTCTCCTGCACGACAGTCACGTCCAGCGCGTGCAGTGAGGACAGACAGATAAAACGTGACGAGGGCTCTGCTCTGACTCATGCATGTTGTCTCAGACCATGTTCAACTTGCCTCGGATCCATCGCACGGTGACAGCCTCGAGGCAGCCGTCAGTCAACCCACTGATGCGATGCATCCATCCGTCTGGCCATAAAGGCAGGCCTTCCTTCCTGGCTGTGGCTGCCTTGAATGCTATCCACATAGAACATACATTCGCTCGTCCGTTACATACATACAGTCAGGCTGAGCAACACGGCAGCCCAGCCACTTATCGAATCGATCGGGGACTCGCACTCGCACGATACGCGTCGCGTGTCACTTTGCCTCTCTGCTTGCACATATCTTGGTAGCTATACATTGCCTTAGTGCTGGGCTGGTGTGTGTCATGTCATGTGTTGAGCGCTTGCTGCACGTCTCGACACCCTCATGGGCAACAGTGGGAACATCCGGCATGTCCTGATGGATGGATGCCCTCCACGTTGACGTGCAGCAAGTGGACCGACACAATCCACCCACACTGATCGACGGACGCAGCTCCCTTGCCTTTGTCGCAAATCGTCCGACGAAAAAACCTAGCTGGTACTCTCTCGGAAGAATGGAAAAAGACGCAGACAACACACCACACCACACCACAACACAACACAACACCAGACAACATCCATCGGCGTGCCTTGGTGTGCGTAGGGTAGGGGGTGATGGGGGAAGGAAAAGAAACCATTCAGATTGATGCAGTGGTTTGCAATGCATTGCAATAGAATTCAACACAGCAGGCCCAAAATGCCCCAAAGCTGCCTTAGCTCGTCTTGCGATCGATTCCCAGTGCTTGAAACACACAAACATTCACCGCCCCCAGACACACGCCAACATTCCCCCGTGGCATAGCACACACGCACACACACACACACACACACATGCACACGCCCCCATGCACCGCACCCCTCGCCGCGCCCCGTCTCTCAACGCAATAAAGGTTCGGGTGTGTATGTGTTGTGTGTGTAAGTGTGTGCAGCTCTCCTTGCAAAATTGGTAGGACAGGGTGGTACGGGCTGGGCCACAATGGGATCACCGTCCCTCATGCGTAGATCTTGTCGAGGTTGCGCTTGACGGGTGCGTTCATCTCGGCCCGCTTGAGGGCCTCCTCCTGCTCCAGGCCGCCAAACAGATAGGGCGAGAAGGGCTTCGTCTCGATGTACCTGAATGAACGTGAGACGAAGCCCACCACACCGCCAGCGAATGTGAGTGAGATGGGCAGGGCAGGGGGATGCCATCTTTATTTATGGCTGTATTGTGTGTATTGGTGTGTTCTTACTGTCCGCGACCGTCTTTGGTGAAGAGCTGATTGTTGTCCCACACGATGTCGCCGCGGCTGATGGTCGTCACCACCTTGCCCCGACACTTGATGCTGGAACAAACAAACAGACCACACACACCACAAACACACAGACACACAGACACGCGTAGACATCCATGCGGTCTGGTGCGGTGCATTGCGGCGACTTACTCTTACCCTTCGAAGACGTTGGTATCGAGGGCCGAGTGGTGTGTCTGGGGTGAGATGGTGTACTCCACAGTCGGGTCAAGCACATACAAGTCGGCGTCAGAACCCTCGCGAATCACACCCTGAGTGAGACACCCACATACCATCCATACACACACAACACAACACAAACAGTGGGTGGGTGCATTTCAGCCCACGCCTTTGCGCGTCCGTCCGTCCGTCCGTCCGTCCGTCCGTGAGTGCGTCAGTGATGTGTGTGGGTGACGTGACCTACCTTTTGAGGGTAGACGTTGAAGATTCGTGCCGCCTCGGTGGAGGTGATGCGGACGAAGTCCATCGGCGTGATCTTGCCCGTGTTGACCATGGTCGTCCACAGCACCGGGATGCGCTCCTCAAGACCTGCACACATCACACACACAAGGAAGGAAATTAGTCATTATCCAGCCCACAGGCAGATGGACGGATGGCAAGCTAGTTGTGCATGTTGTGTATGTTGTGCATTGTGTGCGAAGCTGACCGACCGTTGACTCCATTGGGCAGCACGCGGAAGTCGTGTTTGCCCTTGGCCTTCTGAGTGGAGTTGAACACCGCGTGGTCGGTCGCCACCAGCTGCAGGCAGGGTCAGACAGACAGACAGACAGACAGACAGGCAGGCAGACCGACGGACAGCAACCATATATGCAACACGTGTGTGTGGATGGGATGGACGCCGTGATGGAACGAGTATTCATGTTGTCATGCTCACACACTTACCGAGAGGACACGATTCTTGAGAGCGTTTTGGAGGGCAATGCCGTCGACATCGTGCTTCCTGATGGGTGGCGACATGACGTGGGCAGCAGCGGTCTTGAAGTCGGGGTCCCACATCTTGCTCTCGTCAAGGGTGAGGCCGGCCGCCGTGGGCTCGCCGATGATGCGGTAGCCCGCCTGCCGGGCACGCGCAACCGCCTCCATCGCACCCTTGCTCATCACGTGCACCTGGCCACACATCACACACACACACACACACGGAGGGGACGAGTATGTGTAGGGGCTTTGATATCGAGTATGGATGGATGGATGGATGGATGCGTACCACGTACAGCGGTGTGTTGACCCACGCGGCGAGGTTGATGGCCCGCTCCGTGGCCTCCACCTCTAGAATGGCTGGACGGCTCAGTGCGTGACCCTATGCAACACACACACATACACGGGCATAAGTCAGTCAAGGGTGTGGAGCTGGTTGGTTGGGGTTTGTGGCTGGCGTGGTGTTCCTTTCTTCGTTACCTCTGGTCCGAGGATTTGCAGCTCCTCTGCGATGTACTTCTGGCCAGCAGCCACGGCGTCACCATTCTCAGCTGATGGATGGATCACACACACAAGCCATCCATCCATTCGGATGATCAGTGGCAGCGTGTGAAGCTGTGAGCGTACCTACCGTGGACTTGTGCGAGTGCGCCGATCTTCTTGCAGTGCCTGAATCCCTCGACGAGCTGCTCATCGGTGACCATGAGCGCCCCCTTGTAGGCCATGAAGAACTTGTACGAGTTGACGCCCTTGTTCTTGGCCAAGTACTCCATCTCCTGCATACACCACACACCGACCGATGCACTCACACGGATATGATGCGTGTGTGCGTGAGGGAGGGAGCGTGACGGTAGGTGCGGTACCTCTGCGACTTTGTCATTCCATGCGGTGACGGCCATGTGGAATCCGTAGTCCATGTTGGCCTTGGCGGCCTTCTTCCGCCACTCCTCCCAGCCCTTGACCAACGACCCGTCAACAGGCAGGGCGAAATCGATGTGCATCGTCGTCCCGCCGGCAAGCGCAGCCTGGCAGATCAGATAGATGACACCGAATGAACGGGGAGCATGGTTTGTGTCGTCCCCTCCCTGTGTGGCGTGTGTTTGTCGCCCACATGCTCACTCACTCACCTGGTGTCCAGTGGCGAATGTGTCGCATGCCACCTCCCCCATGAAGGGCATCTCCAGGTGGGTGTGAGGGTCGATGCCTGCCAAGCCAACACGTGGACACCACACGCACACACAGACCCATGCATGCCACCATGCATAAGCGCATCTCCTCTGTCTGTCTGCGGTGTGGTGTTGTCAATCGTCTCACTCATTCACTCAGTCACTCACCTCCCGGCATGACGTACTTGCCCCTGGCGTCCACCACTCGTGTCTCGCTGTCAGCGGCGATCTCAGTCGCTATCAGCTGCACACGCCATCCCGCACACCACACATGTGTGCATGGCGCCATGCATGCTGCTGCGTTGCGCCGTTGGTTGACACATTGCAAGGCAGCCAAGGCAAGGCAAAGGCACCAGTGCTGATCTGTCCGCATGTACCCACCTGGATGTGTCCATTGTCGATGAGGATGTCAGAGATCATCTCGACGTCCTCGTTGACCACGATGCCGCCCTTGATCAGCAGCTTCCCGCCCCCGCCCTCGCTGCACTTGTCGCCTTCCTTGCATGTCTGGCTCACCACCGAGGGTGGGCACAGCACGGCAGCCACACAAACCAGCGACAAGAGCCTTGCGACGGCCATTGGGGAAAAGAGGGGGGAAATGGGTGTGAGCGATGAGGAAAGGTGCGAGCTTAGAAGCGGCGAGCTGAAGAGGGGATAAAGAGGTTCTTCCCCTGTTGAATGAAGGGACAGATGAAAGGCCGACACAGCAAGACCAACCATCAGTCCGACCAGAGAGGCACGTCAAGGGGCCCTCCATCAGCCACATCAGTGCTGTTCCGCACCCTCCGCGAGCGGCCCTCAGCCAAGCGACGCGCCAGGGCTCCCCTCGGGCGCAAGGCACTCCGGAAGCAGCAGCGTCAGGAGGCCAAGCAGAAGAAACAGCAGCACTATGAGTCACACCGGCAGCACAAGAGCGCCGCACGGAACCATGCTGCGGTGAAGGAAGATGAGAGCAAGCATGAGCCTGAAGACTGTGAAGACGACATTGCGTCAGATGATGTTATCGACGAGGAAGAGGACGAGGGGGAGAATGATCACGAAGAGGCGGCGTACAGCGGCGATGATGATCCTGACCTCACCGAGATGGCTTATCTGGAGGCTAAGTTGGGCTTAGGCGCATCTGCCACAGACAAGAGCCGCGTCAAGGCGGAGCGCAAGATGCACCAGACACTCGCCGACGAGGGCCTCGAGGAGTGCTTCGACATCGCCGACCAAATCCTCGCCACCAAAGTCAGCAACGAGCACCCAAGGCCAAGAGCAGTCCCTGTGCAAGCGGAGGACGATGAGTCAGGCGAGGGCGAGGCGAGTGATTCGTCAGCAGAGGAAGAGCAGCAGCAAGAGGCCGAGCCGTCTGCCCCCGGCAACAGCAGCAAGTACGTGCCGCCGCACTTGCGGTCGGTGCAGGGGAAGGGCGAGGACACTGTGGGCCGTGTGCGTACCAAGGTGGTGGGTCTGGTCAACCGTGTGTCGGAGGGAAACCTGGAGCCCATCACAGTGCAGCTGCTGCGGCTCTTGGAGCCAATGCGGGACGAGAGGGAGGCCGAGGGGCTCGCCGTCATCATCCCCGTGCTGGTGGATGAGATACTCAAGAGCTGCCTCTTCCATCGGTTCACAACGCTCTACCTGCTGGGGGTGCAGACGGCTCTCATTACTGCACTGCACGTCACTCTGCACACTGAAGTCAGTGAGCAGAGCACCCCACCACACACACACACGACCTACGCACGCACAGAGGCAGATGCTCTCCTCTCGCCGCGATGTATACTGACTGTGGCGCGTGTGTCTGTGTGTGTGATGTCAACCAGGTTGGTTTTAGATTCTTCTTCCACTTGATGACGAGTTTCCAGAAGTACCTGAGGTCTTTCCAGAAGAGCCTGCCGTCTTGTGGTGGTGGTGCGGGAGGGGACGATGTGTCGATGGTTGCGGCTGACGGCCGCAAGCGCAAGAGGCGGCATGGATCGTCATCAGCGGGGATGCGACGGGGCGGAAATGGCGATAGCGGGATGCATGAGTGTGAAGATGAGCACCCTGACGAGGGGCAGGTGGACATCGAAGTCGCCAAGCAGCGATGCAAGTCAGTGAGTGACAAAGGAGAGACAGATGCGAAGGCGCAGGCAGGCAGGCCATTTGTCTTGTCTGTCTTGTTGGTGTCTTCCTGGCCTGGGTGTGGTGTGGTGTGGTGTGCGCAGGCACAGTCTGGTGGCGTTGTGTCTGCTGTTTGACTTGGGTGTGCTGGACCCGGCCATCATTCAACACCTCGTCCAGTAAGGCAGACAGGCCAAGACAGACAGACAGACAGACAATCAAGCTCATGAGGCTCACAACCCAAACGTGCCTGCCGCGTGACGTGTGTGCCGTTCGTTTCAGTGGGCTGGCTGCCCTCCCCCACTTCTGGGACACCGACTTCTACGTCGATCTCCTACTCACCGTCTTCAGATTTACCAGTGAGTACCACACACACACACACACACGTCAGTCACCTGAAGCGCAGCGCCACAACTTACTCCTCCTCCATTGCAATCATTGCTTGCCTCTTCCCTCTCTGCAGGTGGTCGTTTCCGGTCCGATCACGGTGGGGATTTCAAGGCCCTTATAACCCACATCAAGGGGCTCGTCGAAACACACTTGGGCTCTGACGGCAGGGGTGACGCCCCTTTGTCGTGGTCGGAGCAGCTCAAGGCCAAACTCAAGCAGCGGACAGCCACCAAGCGGCATGGGGCGGCAGCTGCTGCAGCCCCACCTGCTGCGATGGATGAGGGGAAGGCGGAGAGTGAGGGTAAGGGTCGGTTGGGGTTTCTGCTGGCCGAGCTGGCGGCCCTTAAGACAGCCAGGGCCACATCCAAGTTCACCGTGGCTGTCAAGATCACCACTCCACTCAGGTGCGGGGCGGTGCGTGAGGCAATCAAACCACACGAAGACACGTACAGCACAGCACACGGCCACATTTCACTTCCCTCCGCGTGTGTGTGCGTGTGTGAGTGCGTGTGTTCAGGAATTGGTTCAAGACGAGCAAGCTGTTCTCCTCTGTGCGGTTCGACGACTACCTCATCACCATCCCTCTACCACCGCTGGACCCCTCCAACCCGCCATCCCTGTTCGCCCTCCCACTGCACCAACACAACGCACACAGCACCCCAACCACAGCAACAGGTGCAGCCTCTTCTTCCAGCCGCCCATCCAAGAGGAAGGGTGACGACGGCGAGGGTGACGGCGGCACGGCAGCTTTGATGGAGGTTGCGGCGAGCCATCGTCTGCGGAGCGACCTGCAGAAGGGGCTCTTCGTGGCGCTGATGGGCAGCGAGGACCCCGTCCATGCCTGCCAGCGGCTGCAGGACGTCGTGCTGGCCTACCACAGACAGAACCAGACGGCACAAAAGAAGAAGCAACAGCAGGTGGGTACAGAAGACGGTATGGATAAATGGATGGATGGATGGATGTGTGTGGTGTGTCTGTCGGGGGCAGTATGAGTATGTGGTGGCGGTGGTGCTGCATTGCTGTCTGCACGAGAAGTCGTTCAACCTCTTCTACACCAGGGTGCTGCAGCACTGCTGTGGGCTGCCAGGACCTATCGCCAAACACTACCAAAGGGCACTCACTAAGGTAGGTACGGCCGTCCGCCACACACAGAGCAACCTGGTACCTGCAGCCACGTGTGTGTTGATGTGATGATGGTGTGGTGCGTGTTGGTAAACTGCAGGGTGTGTCATCTCAGCTGTCCCTTGTGCCGTCCTTCGCCGTCCGCAAGACACTCAACTTCGCACAGATGTTGGCAACACTCGTAAGCCAACCACCCGCTTAGCTTACCTTTCCCATACTGATACACACGTGTCTGTCGATCTGTGTGCAGGTCCACGAGGAGCTGCTGCCTCTGAAGCTGCTCCGGTTTCTCGACCTGCAAGGCACCGAGGGCAACGCACTCACTGGCAACGCTGGACTCTTCCTCAAACACGTAAGCCAGGCCACCCACGACAAAACCCATGCATCCCTCCACCCAACGTCAGCCAGCCCTCTAATGCATGTGTGTGTGTGTGTGTGTGTGTTTCAGGTGTGCCTCGAGATGCTGTCTCTGTGCGCGTCTGACATGAGCCGTGCGCAGGCCCTGTTCGGCCCAGTGGCGGCCTTCCCCGACGTGTGTGAGGCGGTCCTCCTGGTGCTGGACACCTTTGTGCTGCCCGAGGTGTCTGGCGAGACCTCGCCCTTACGCAAGAGGGGCAAGGGGGGTCCGTCTGGGAGGGCGTCAGCATCAGCGGCATCACGCGTTGAGTGTTGGATGGTGCAAGACCTGTCTCGATATCTGGGGGATGAGCAGAGGCGGCGAGAGGAGGAGAGGGAAGAGGCCTTCTTCAAGGGCAGATAAATAAGGACGGAGGCAGGGAGGGAGGGACAGATGCGGGTGTGGATAGGAAATGGTGTGAGGTCTTCCGGTCTGAGATCTGACCTATGGAATGGAGACCAAGGAGTGTTTGTGGATCAATCATATCATTAGCGCTGAAAGTGAGTGAGTGAGTGCTGTCATTCTATTCTCGTTCATCTCACTCACAGCACACGTTCACTCCCTCACCCCACCGCATGTCATGCACCGTACATGTCATCATGCAAGCAGCGCGCGTCGCAACGCAACACAATGCAATGCAATGCACACACAGCATGCATATCATATACACTGAACGAATATGGCGGCTGGCTGGATGGCTGGCTGTACACCCCATCCATCCATCCATCCACCCTCCACCGTTGTCTGTCGTCACATTGACCTTGGGTTCGCTGGGCATCCCTCTTGCAGCAGGTGGTCCTGCCACGCAAAAGACACACTGGTGCCTGTTGGTTGACACACACAACGACACACACACACGGGCGTGGTTTGTTTGCAATGGCTGTCTGTTTGTCTGTCTGTCTGTCTGTCAGGGTGACCTTCCACAGGGATGTCCCGGAAGCACAGGGGGCACCGCAAACAACCCTCAACTACACACACACACACACACACACATCCCTCCATCCCTCCATACGTCCAATCCATGGATGGAAAGGTCGGCTGAATGGGTCTGTCTCATCGTGTCTCGTCGACCGAGTGGTCTGCATTCCTCCTCGTTGTTCTGGTGGGCCTCCATCTCAGCCGAGGCAATCGCCAGGCCACACCTATCCAACGCGCACACAACGGGAAGAGGCCGCGTCGTGTCTCGTGTGGTCACTCTTACCTACCTGGTGCACTCCTGCCAGTCGATGATGTTCTTGGCCTCGCACTCAAACAGACGGTGGTCCCTCAACGTCGCAATCTCCACTACCTACACACACACGTACGCGCCAACAACACACGTGGAGTGTCTGTCGTGTGTGTGTCCACCTCCCTCCCAAGCTTGCAGCCCAGGCATGCAGGGCGAGGCGACCGACCTGTTGGCATGCGTCGCATTTGATGAGGAGGGGGCACTCTTCGAAGAGGTGCATGTCCATCCCACCGAACCGAAACGAGGGGTCCTGACGACCGCAGAACTGACACGTGCTGCACACAGACAGACCCATACCAACATAATGTCTCTGTTTGCTGCATGCCTAACTCAGAGTTTTCGTCGTCAGGGTCTATGGGTGGTCCCTCGTCCACACCACCAGACACGTCAGCAACAGCCTAACGGACCGAGACACACCACACACAGATAAACAACATCCCATCGATACACAGCCAGCGGACTGGTTGGTCCCGGGCAGGTTGCCTCTTCCGTTGCTTGTGACTGTCTGTCTGGTGCAGTGCAGTGAGTGCACCTGTGGTGGTGAGGGTTTGTCCTGTTGCATGTCTTCTGGCTTCCTCGTGGCCTTTTTGTCCTCACCGCTCATCTTGCCCTTGCCTGGGGCAGGGGCCGGGGCACCGCTACCCTCTGATTGATGCACACACACATACATACAACTCGTGGGTGTGTTGTGTGGCTAGGCTGGTGAGATGAAAGAAATGATATAATATTGGTTCATGCTCGAAAACGGTAAGGCAAGTTGTGTAAGTAAAGGAGACGTACATATGAGTGATGGATGGATAGATAGCCCATCCTTATATATTACCATCACACATGTATACATGTTATCTCATCATTTCTACCGACCACTCCACTTGTGTGTCCAGAAAATTTGGCTTCATGCAAAAACTTCGCTGTCTGCCAAAACTTCGCTGTCTGACATAGCCGCTGCATACACGTGCCCATTCATTTCCTCACCGCTGGCCGCGGCCGCCGGTCCGTTGGCGGTCCTCTTGGCGCCGCCCCCGAGAGACATCCGCCTCAACGGCAGCCCCACACCCTCGGCCACACCGCCCCCACCCTCAGCCCGACGCTTGAACTCCAACTCAAACGCCTAGTAACACAGCCAGCCGCACACACAGAGAGGCACACTGGATGGCTCCTTGTGTCTGTGCTGATTTGTGTGCGTCTGACTGACGTCGAGTTGAGCGGGTCTGAGGTCCTTCAGGTGCTTTTCGATCTCGGATGGGCCCGCGAGAGTGTATATGGCGCCCACGAGTGAGACACACGCCATGCGGACCTCCTGGTGGGGACTGTTGAACCAACCCATGGCCGCCTGCATCAACGCCTGCACACATGACATAGACACACAGATCTGCGCTGCGCACCGAAACGCCGTGCGATGGTTGGTTGGTTGTGTGGTTACTTACCTCTTGAGTCATGCCGTCCTTCTTCATGGGCTGGATGCATTGGCATTCGGTCACGAGCGACTCCAGCAGCGACAAACGAGACACTATCGACCTGCACACACACACACATGCATGGCTACCACGCCCATCCCATATGGCTTACTTGGCGGGCAGTTGTTTCTTCTTCGAGGTGCGCAGCAGATACTGACCAACAAAGTGGCCGCCGACAGTCTGCACACCAGAGCGGCGACCAGCCGATGCACTTCGATGTCCGTCATCCTTGTCTGTCCGTGTCTCTCTCTGTCTCTCTGTGTGTCTCATTTCTTTACTCACCGGTTGTTTGACCAGCGAGGTGAGTGAGATTGCGGCAGCGTCGCGGCACCGGTTGTTGGCGTCGCCCAGCCGCTCCACCAACAGAGGCAGCAAAGGGTCCAAACACGGCTGCACACGGGCAACCAACCAGCCAACACACACAGACATACATACACCATGGTGGGTGGCCCTTGTTTCTTCGCCACCTGGACATCGCTCTTTTTGAGGCCTTCGTCACCCTGAGGGATGCACAAATTGAATAAGAGTGTGTGGCAGGCAGGCAGGCAGTGTGCGGACTTGGATGGCGAATAGTCCGATGGCGATAGACTGCAGCAGCTGTGTGCTGGTGAGGAACACCTGTGCGATCTTGTCACTGATGGCGCGCTTCAGCACCACACACAAACCCTCCAGAAACTGACGCGTGTTGAAATCGCCAAACAACCCTGACACACACCATGGGAGAACAGTGTATAATGGTAAATAAGAGGCAAGGCACGGGTGGGTGGGTGGATAGATGGACGTTGACACACGATATATGGGCACCTGCGTTGAAATCTAGGTCGAGCTTGAGCACTGCCGCCTCGCGAAGGTGCCACGTCTGGATGAATGGTGCAGGAACCATCACCAACCAGCACAGCAGACAACGAACACGTGACCTCAGGCGCTTGTGTGTGGAGGGTGCAGGCAGGTGTCGGACCTTCGAGTAGAGGCATCTGATGAGGTATTCTCCGAAGAGGTCTATCAGGGGCCCCGCCTCCTTGGAGAACGACGGACTGATGCCCTCGGGCGCCGGCAACTCCTCGACATTCGGAACACCTGACAAACAACCATCCAACGTGATACGCAACATGACGCGCATTTGCCACTGCGCTGCACTCACCTCTGAGTGGGTGTTTGTCCGGCGGGAATGATGGCGGTGGAGGTGCCGCCTCGCGCTCGGCCACGCCGCCACCCATGCCGCCAAAGCCACCACCCTCAATCCCACCAGCGCCCCTTGGGGGCGTGCGAGGGAGACCGCCGGACGGCAAATGGTCCGGCGACACATACTGCAACACATGCGCACAAAATGCCGTTGACATCACATGTGGCCATGCGGGATGGTTGGTATGTTGTTGATTACGTACGGCCGGTCTATCATCGACGTTGAGCATGGCGTCCCCTGCCTCCCCCTCTCCTCCCATGAGCTCGTCATCACCACGGCCGCCACGATCGGGATACGGTGTGCTGTAGACGGTCTCGCCTCCCTCACCTGCAGGCAGCTCACCCGACGGCTCCGCGGCAGTCCTCGTCCAGTGATCCTCCATCTACACACACACATACACATACATACACGCCCACAACACACACACATATACTGCATTCCAGGACAATGTCTGTCTGTCTGTCTGTCTGTTTTCCGACCCTCACCTGTTCGTGTGAGGTTGGCACCGATGGTGTGTCGGTCTGTGAGCTGGATGGCATGTCCCTGTCTGGGCGTGATGCGTGTGGGGGTGAGGGCGGGCCTGCGGGGCTGATGGGGCCATCGGGGGTGAGGGCAGCTGACCTCAGGCGGTCGATCTCCTGCTTGATCACCTTCGCCGCGTCGAAATCCTCATTGCGCACCGCCATCCTGCAACCGAAGGGGCGAAGAGGAGGACATGGGCTCTTTTTTTCATGGGTGTTGAGTGTGGTGTGTTGGCTACGCTTTTTTGTCTTCTAGTTCTTTAAGGGCCTTGCCGACGTCGGTGAGCCGTTTGATCATGTCCTTGCACCGCTTCGCCTCATCGTAGTCCTCCAGCTGACAGATGAACAAATGTATTTCATTCAACAGATCATTGGTCCTTTCTTTCGCTTGGTACCTAGCCTACCTGTATGGCTCTGTTTTTGTGGGCATGTAGGAGGCGCAGTTTGTCGACCGTCTGTGGGTCGTACTGCAGCTCCTCCGCCATGGCAACGGCCTGCGCCTGCGGATCACCTGCACAGTCCCATCCATGGAGAAAGAAATACCAATGAGAGGATGGATGGCATTGCCTCGTCCCCCGCCCTTCCGTCCACACCCCTCCCTGTGTGGTCACGATGTGGCGTCACTCACCCCTCCTGGGTGGCGCGGGGTAGTTTGCGATGTCCCGCCGGCCGGACTGGCGGGGCGGACCGCGGCCGGCCACGAACGGCGCCATGTCGGGACCCAACAACTCGCCAAACACATTCACCGCTACAAAACCCTGACAGTCACCAAGGAGAGGGATGGATGGATGGATGGGGAAATGAGAGAGCTGCACCCACTGCACTATTGTACGTGTGTGTGTATGTATGTATGTATGTATGTGTGTGTACCACTTGGTTGGTGAGGTTGTATTTGTTGATGTGGCACTTGTGGACGATGATCTTGATGTACTCGGCCACCACGTCAACATACACCGACTTCAACTCACGAGCCTGTACGCACCGACTCAAGGAGAGACGCAACGCAGAATGCCTCCCTCCTTGCCGACCGACGGATGCGCTGCGCTACATCCATCCATCCTTCCTTGTTCTGTCACCGTACCGAAAAGTCCGATCGCTCATTGGCGGACATCGCCAGATACCTGACAGCCCGGCGACCGACACATTGCCGCGGGAAGTTGCTGTGCTGCCACGATTTGGTTTTGTCACCATGCAGCGCGTACCGTACCCGAGTCGGTGGAACCTAACGGAGTCATAGCTATGGTTCCGGCCATCCTGCTTCGGCAGCGCCGTGTACTGCGACACCCACAACGCATAGCACACAGGGGGACACATGAAGAGCCTTTGTGTGTGTGTGCGTGCATGTGCGCGTGTGTGGTTACGAGTTCTAGTTTGGAGGTGATTTTCGACTGGTGGGAGAGGAACTGTATCTGGCGTATCTGCACCGGGCCCTCAAACTTCAGCCCCAGCTCCTGCGGATAGTCACAGAACCTGACATATACAGACACACACAGATACACGCAGAGAAGTACGATGGATGGATGACAGAAAACCAAACGGATCCATACATGCGTTTGATGCATGTGATGTGCACACATTGTGCGTACCTTGCCGAGCACCATCCTCTGGTGGCAGACGTCTGTTCGAGGAGCTCCCTGACAGGGTTGTCCTGGTCCTCACTGGAGCACTTGACGATCTCATACTTGACTCTGCCGAACAGACAATGACCAGCACATCCATTCACATGGCCCACAAGTAGGTGCATCGCATCGGATTCCCTGTGGTCGCTGAATGCTCCTCCTCACCTGTCGTGGTTGAGCGACGGGTCGAAGCTCTTCTTCTCCATCCCTCGTCAGCCACAAACGAAATGCATGCGGCATCGTCGTCCTATATCCATGGTCGCGGCAGAGCAGATTTACCATCGCTGCGAGCTTAGTAAGGGGGGCGATGATAGATTAAGGAAGATATGAAGGCTTTGAGGCGATGTAGATAGGACGATGAAGGCGGCGGCGCTGCAGACCTGAGGATGTGCTCGTCGATCTGGACCTACAAACACCCATCGCAATGCAAACCATTCGTCGAGCAGACACCTGGTTCTGTGACGTCGTATGGTGTTGCTGCACACGCCCACCCTGCCAGCAGTAGCCGCCCCCTGTTTCGTTGGCCCGTTCGCATCCTCCCCTGCCCACCATCGGGTGTGCCGGTCCATGGCAGCCTCCTTGACGCCAAGAATCCCTTTGTTAGCACTGCAGGGGCAGGGCAGCCATATGGCCCTGGGGCAGGGCAGACAGGGGGCGTGGCAGGGCAGTCGTATGGCCCTGCCCCCTTCGGTCTGCCCGTCCATCTGTGGTTCAAAGGAAAGCTACACGCAATGCCGCCACCAGACGTAGTCACACGCAAGGTGAGATGACGGCAGGCCTGCTGCAATGGATTCCTTCCCATGTATGGTGGTGTGTGCCTGTGTGGTTGTGTGTCAGGATTTGGAGAGGGTGATGGGCGGTGTGCCTCTGTCGGAGTTTCTGCTGGCCGTCATCCAACACAATGAATCGCATGCTCGGACGTAGGCACGTCCGATGGATGGGATGGATGGATGGATGAATCGGGCTGCCCGGAGCGGGTAGTACCTTCCGCTTTGTCCCTTATGTGGTGACTGTGTAGGTGGCTGCAGCTGGTGCTGTCGTCGAGGCGGGCGAATGGCTCCCTCCAGCTGTCTCTCGTAGAGGTAATAATCAGCGGCTGCACTTGTGCGTACTGCGATGACGTGTATTGTGTGTTCGTGTGCTGTGAGACTTGGATGTGCTTGTGCTGAATCATATATGCGTGCTGTCGCGCCACCTTGTCTTGTCTGGCTCATGCACTGGCCTGCAGACCCTGCTAGAGGTGGCATTGTTCTCAATGCTAGCGGTCGGTCACACTCCCGTGTATGCCATTCATTCATTCATTCGTGTTTGTGTGTCCGCTGTCTGGCTTGCAGCCCCATCCTGAGGGCACTTGGGTGGTGCGGAGTGCACTCAGGAGCGAATGGGCCCAGGGGCTGCCCGCCACCAAAGCCCTCGTCAACAACGTAGACGCACAGCACACGTCCTTGTCAGGAAGGGTCCGTCCGGCCACTCACACGTACGTCTGTGTGCCTGTCTGTCTGCGTGTGTATACTATTCGCCAGATGTCGGCAGAGGTCGTGTGTGCGATGTGCACCCATCCGCGTGCCACACTCTGCATGCAGGCACTGTTCGGTAAGCAAGCTCAATGCGGCTGGCTGCACTGAAAAGGTTGGCTGCCTTAGATGATATGCGTGGACTCGACCGTCGTGCCTGTGTGTCTGTGTGTGTGTGTGTGTGTGCTGCCCTTCCTGCCGATCCATGCCATGCAGGTAGCTTGGATTCCGTCGATAAGTCGTGTTTTGTGCAGTCGCTCATGGCGAATCAGACACTACTCGGACGAATCTGCGCGGTGAGTGAGAAGCACACAACACAGCACACAAAGGCAGCCATCCTGTAATCCTATCTCCTTATGCTCAGTCTGTGTCAGGTTCGTCCATGCTGGCCACCATCATCTGCGCCCACGGCAAGTCAGGCTTCCACCTCCCCATCGCCTTCTTCAACACACTGATACTCAACGCACCAGAGGTACCACACAACACAGGACCCAAGCCACCAATCCTCCTTGCGCCCTCATTCGCTGTCTTGTCGATATGTGTGTGGGCGAGTTGGGTGCAGATACTTCGCCTGACTGGCCTGAATGTGTATCGGGTGCCGCCAGCCAACACGTCTCCAGGCCCCTCTTCGCCTCCCCCGCCCCCTCCGCCAGTGCTGCTGCTGGCGGCCCTCGTGGGGCAGCCAGACGGCACACACATCGGACGCATAGACGGCTCCGGGGATCGCCGCCTACACACACACCTCCTCTCTCTCGGCCATGCCACGCGACAAGTGAGTGAGTGAGGGAAACGGAGACCGATCCAACCTAACGATAGACAGATGGATGGATGTCGTGTGTGGTTGGATCGGCTCATTCAGCTGATTCGGAAGGCCTTCCTGGCGACGTTGCCGCGTCTGTTTGCCCGCGTGTCTCACGGCAAGGCCGGGGAGGGATATCATCAGGACATCAAGTACGCACTCCTCTTGACGTCGATTGTCCTGCAGGTACGCACACACTCAGCGCGCTGACACAGAGACAGACACGCAGCATGTCGCGGGCAGTCTCAGGAATTGGTGTGGACGTGGTGTGTGTGGTGCAGTCGTGTGTTGAGTACGGTGGGTGCGAGGAGTTCATGGAGGCGATCCTGAAGACACTCAACCACACGGGCGTCTTCGAGGTCAATGCAGTGCATAGCGGGAGGGGCTCACAGACAGAGAATCCCCCCTCTCATTGTGGCACACGTGTGCGTGCATTGGATTGGTCATCTCCTCTCATTTGTGTGCAGATGTTGACGAGGGGGGGACACATGTACATCACCAACTACATAGATGTGGTACGGTACGATGACACGTACAGTGAGGGAGGGACAACACATATATACACAGACTGGGTGTGGTGTTATCGCCCTTTTCCCTTTGCTTAATGAAAATGCGTGCAGAAGCTCATGTGTGCTGAGGGTGAGGCTGAGGGTAGGGGAGGTGGCGACGGTGAGTGGGGGAGCGAGACATCGTGCGACATGCTGACAGGGAGTCGCCCCAGAAGAGTATATCATCAGTGCAGACACGCACGCCGTAGCTACACAGCCAGCCAGGGCACACACACACACACACACATGTGGGCTGTGGTATTGAAGGCAGGATCATATTGTATCTGACATGAGGTCTTTCGATAGAGACAGGGGCCGGGGAAGATATGGTGGATAGGTGATTATGGATGACGCTTGCAACAATTGAGCGTGCTTTTCGCACCGCACTGCTTTCAGTGCAGGAGCGTCGCAGTGAGGTGTCGTGCAATGTCACGTCTGTGGGACGTCCTTTCAGCCGTGGTTTATGGGTTTTGTGCAGTCAAGTGAAGGGTTTCAGTTTCAGGGTTTCATCAAAGGGTATGAAACCCTTTGACCCAACGAGAGGCCACCCGGTCCATCTCTCTGCCATTCCACGTGTCGGTACCTTTTCACGAGAGATCCATGGAGCAGAAGAGGACACGGAGGCCTCCAGCGGCCTTCAATCAGGCAGTCATCAAGAATGCAGCGCCAAGGAGCCCAAAGATCACGCAGCGACTTCCACAAGACTCTTCGCTTCACCTGCAGCCAAGGTGGAAGCCTGCACCATCCTCCCCGCCGCCACTGGACAGCCGGCAGTCCGCATCTTTGCTGCAGATTGAGCATCTGCTGCCGTCCCTTGGTCTGCTCATCGCCGTATTGCTGGGGTGGCTGGCGCGTCCTGCGGCGGCGTCGGCAGACTGCACCTGCATCTATCACTACCAGCAGCAGGCGGCGGAGGGCGAGAGCAGTATTGGCGGAGACGCTGGCGTGAGCAGTATGCAGACAAGCGTGGCATCCGATGCCACTGGTGCTGCGAATGTGTTGGTCCAAGGGTCATCGTCGAGCACCATCAAGAGCCTGGTGGCGGGCGGTTCGGCTGGCGGACTGAGGGCTGTCGTCAGAGCTGTGACTTATCCTCTCGGTGAGGAATGCATGGAAGTTGCACACGGCAGATAGATACACCGACGTCACCCACGTGGCTGCTTGTGTTGCTCTATCATGATAGACACCATCAAGACACGGCAGCAGGTCAAGCGGCGCAGCCGCACCTCCACTGCCGACGAGCAGGAGCCCTCCGGTCCCCCACTTATCAACGGTAGCGAGAGCGCAGCCAGCGCCTTTGGAACGACACCTGTCCTGTCGGGCACCAAGTGGGGCGGTGCAAAGGCCGAGAGAACCCCTGTCGGCCAGCGGGCGGAGTCGTCGTCTGTCGGGAGGAGAGGAGGGGATCGAGAATTGGCGCCGCAGCGCATCGTCCGTCGGCCTGGGCTTCGCGAAGCTGAAGACCCATATGAAGCGACAGACGATGGGCTGCGGAAACACGCCACCGTCAGCAACAGGCACGCTGCTGCTGATGCCCACGCAGAGAGTGCCATTGACCGGCTCCGCTCTCTCCGGCTTTTCGATGGTCTGCTGCCCGCAATCTTGGTGGCGACTCCCGCGTCAGCTGTGTTCTTCGGCGCATTCGACCTGCTGCAGCCATTGCTGGCCAAGGGGGTGCCCAGCACCACCGCTGTATACTTCCTCGCAAGTGCGCTGGCGTCGCTCCCGTCAGTGCTGGTCAAGACGCCTGCCGAGGTGGTGAAGCAGAGGCTGCAAGTGGGGCAGGGAGGGGCCAACAGCATCGAGGCCGCACGGGCACTCATCCAACAGGTGAGCTCGGACAAACAGCGCGGGACTAATGTGTGAAGCCGCGCTGTTTCTCGCCCTCTTTCAGGGTCGTGTGATGACTCTCTTCTCGGGCTACCAGGCCCAGCTGTTGCGCGAATTGCCCTTCAACGCCTTACAGGTCAGTCAGTCAGTCAGTCAGCACACCTGCGTAATTTAGGTGTACGGGTCGATTTGTCGATGCCCACTGTCATGCGTCCCCTGCAGGTGTCCTTCTACGAGCGATTCCGTCAGGACCTGGCTGTGCTCGAGGGCCTCGACAACGACATCCTCCCCCTGTGGCAAACGGCTCTCATCGGCTTCACCGCCGCAGGTCTGGCGTCGGTCCTCACACACCCGCTGGACACGGTCAAGACACTGCAGATGGTTGACTCGGAGTATGGCAAAATGACGGTGGGTTCGAGCATCGTGAAGCTGTACAGGGAGGAGGGTGCTGCGGGGTTTTTTCGGGGGGCGGCAGCACGTGTCATGTTGGTGTCCGCAGCGGGCCTGATCTTCTTCTGGGCAAATGAAAGCGTCAAGCGCATACTGGGCTAGCCAGGGGTGCTGTGCTGGGACGGACGGAAATGTACAGTGAGTGTGTCTTGTCGATGGAGACGATTGTCGATTCGGTGTGTGTGTGTATGGTGTGTGGACACAATGCATTGGTTCATTCGCTGCTGGCAAATGATGCAACGTGGGTCCATCGATCGGATCTGTCTCTATCGGGCTCGCGTTTCAAGCGCCCACACACACACATACACTCACACAGAGAGAGAGAGCCACGCATGGGTCCATGCATCTATCCATCCATCCATCCATCGGTGTCAAATCGGACTAGATAGGTTAACACATATACACACCTCCACACAGGCAGCCCCGCTTAGAGGGAGGATGGGTACGCAAGGAGGGCGGGAGGGAGGGAGGGACGCAAGAAAGGACGAATAAAGGAAGGTTAAGAGGTGGGTGGGGAGGAAGGGTCACCACGACGGAGGGAGGGAGGGAGGAATTACAAAACCTTCATTTAGCACCGCCCGTCTGCCCGTTTGTCAGTCAGTGTAAGGACTTCAGTCAGTCGCATCGGAGGGGGGCGTGATGCTCACCCACCACCCCACCCACCCGGGCCGTTGTAGAACCTACACGAGTGAGTATACACTGAATAGATAGATGCCAGCCCTGCTGCCTCAACGGCACCCTGTCATTGTAGACATCACCAAGGGCTGTGTGAGGCCGATGCGCGCATTGTCACATGAACGCTCCTGCCATCCGCAGCGCCTGATCATGACAACAATGACTAAGGCTGTCAGGGGGTGCAGCTACAGATGCAAGGATGGTCGGTCCAAGTGTGACGGTGTGTGTAGATAGAAAAAGTCGGCTGCGTGGAGCGAGTAGGGGCCAGCCGACCCAGTGAGCCAACAAGGCAGTCGACAGGCAGACAGACAGCACCAAGACAGAACACGCACCGCACCACAGGCAGGGCACACAAGAGGAAGGGACAGAGGTCAGTGAGCCGCACAGCAAGGCAAGGCAAGGCAATGTCAGGGACGGACAGGCAGAGGGAGGGAACCACGGAAGAAAGTATGGATGTGTATGTGTGTGTTGAGGCCAAGCAGATCTCCTGCACTCACATCGGCCGGCCGGTCACCCCTCTATCTAGATCTGTGGCTTGCCCTGTTCATCTAGCTAGCTCTGTGCTTCATTCAGCTTTATATACAGCCCCGCGCCGAGACTACACGTACACGTGAGTGCCGCCGTGGCCCTCACTCACTCACGTCGCCAACCCAAACAGCCAGAGCTGTCCGGCTCTGGCTGTTTGGCTTGGCGAACGCAACGCAGTACCACACCTTCAGAGACAGACCCTGCATGTGCACCCAGCCAGCCAGCCAGCCAGCCACCCAGCCATCCGTCCATCCATCCATCCATCCAACGCACCGGCCAACCAGCCACCCACCAATTGTCTTAAAGCATCCATCCATCCATCGGCCGACCAACCAACCAACGAACCAACCAACCAGTGACCGTCACGCTCATTCGCTGCACTCTTAGCCAGTGACCGTGTTGTCACTCATCCATCCATCCATCCACCTGTCCCCTGGGGCGAATTCAGTCGCGCGCTCCCACACTCATCCATCCATCACTCACACATTCAGACAGACACGCATTCATGTCATGCAACCGCCAAAGTAGAGTGGGCAGACAGAGGGCGAGCGGTGCGCGTCGCATGCACTCTTTACACGACGTAAAGCACTTTCTTTCTTTCTTTCTTTCTTGGTGCACACCCGTTTGGATAAAGGGAACACACCACACCACCATAGCGCACGCCACGCACCCATCCAACGACCACAGACAGGTATGGGAGTGAGAAAGAGAGAAAGAGAGAGAGAGAGAGAGAGACAGAAAGCAAGCGAGAGGAGAGACCTCGGGCCACTTTTGCCCAGATCTCGGCAGTCAGGTGTACTGTCGACCCTTCCCCCTCCCCCCTCATGGCGGCCTGCCAGCATTCCTTCCCGACCCGACCCCCACCACAGGCAGCCGCCCTGCCCCCACCATCTGCACTGCACGGACAGGAACGGCTGCCTGTGGTAGGGAGTCTTGCAAGGTGCGAGACCTCTCACACGACAGACACTGATCCGACAGACCAGCTCACGCCGTCCAAGGGTGATGTGCCCCTCTCATCTCACAGACTGCTTCTGCCTCGCCTCCGCTACCTAATCCTGTCTGCCGGGCTGCCGACGCACAGGATCAAGAAGCAGAGACAAAACAAAAGCAGCCCGTGACAGAACAAGGGAACCACCCACGCGCCCTCAAAGAACGAGCCATGAAAAACGAGCTGAGCACCTCTCCGCCTGTCTGCCTGCCTGTGGTCACACAGCCGCAGCAGCACCACCACCTAACAAACACGATACGGACAGCAAAGCACTTGTGAGTGAGTCAGTGAGCGTGGAAGTGATGTGTATGTATGTGACTTGGGGTGTGATCGGTACGCACATAAATGCGTTAGTCAGACAGCCATAGAAACACCGTCACACACACACACACACACACCGTGCAGCCGACATGCAGCCAGAAAGCTAAAAATGATTGAGTAACACGCGGGGGCCAGCCGACCGCACTGACCCACGCCCCGCCTGGCTGCCTGCCTGCCTGTCGGTCTGTCTGTCTGCCTGTCCCACCCCCCCCCCTGGCCCTGCCCGGTGCCTGTCTGTGAGAGCACACAGCACACATTCACCTCCACACGGACGGGGCGGGGCGGGGCGGGGCGGGGCAGGTCTCTCTCTCAAGCAGCAGCAAAATTCGAGCGCTCATGCATTCCGTCACACACACTACACAGCAGACAAAAACGCTCAATTACACTCAGGACGGACAGACACGCCACAGGGCCACCAGGCAGACAGCCAATCCCCCTCCCCCTCCCCTCGCCCCACCCTTCCTTATCTCCCGTCGTATTTCTGTGTGTGGGGATTAACACACTGTACGGTGGGCGATGGGAGGCTGAGTGACCTGGGCACCTTGGACCGCACGTTGATCGGCGACCGGCTGTTCGGCTTCACCGCCAGACGACGCGCAAACGAAAACAGCGCTGTGGCCGGCGACGCTGACACACACACACACACAGACAAATCACCACACATGACGTGATGAGGGAGGGCATCTATCTCTTTTGCCGTTGCGTTGTAGTGTAGTGGCTTCTCGTCCAACTCACCTTCCATTCGTCTTCCTGAGCTGATGATGGACTCCTCCGGGTCGTTGAGCGAGTCGAGCGAGTCGGTGGGCGTCAGCTCCTCCCTGTCGGTCTTGCCCGCCTCGTCCCCGCCCTCATAGTGCTTGTCGTGCACCATCTTCCAGTCGTCCAGCATGTCGTCGCGCCCATCCGTGAGGTCCTGGTACGCCGACGACACGTCGCTGTCGCCATACGACAGGACGCTGGTGGGGTGCTTGGGGTCGTCGGCGCAGGTCGACAGGGGAAAGTCGATGCCAGTCCGCACCGCAGACAGCGGCTCGTCGTAGTCGTGGCCGATGTGGTCGCTCTTGCCCACGGCCTTCTCGTCGTTGATGTCCTTGACCAGCCGCCGGATCTGCTCGAGCGGGCCCATGTCGATGGGCGCCGGCCGCATGCCGAAGCCCCCCGTGCCCATGCCCATGCCCACTCTGCTCATGTCGGTCATGCGGTTGGGGTGGGGGGTGCCGGCCCCGCTCCAGGACCAGCCTGAGGGCGTGTTGGCGCCCGATTGCATCATGAAGTCGCTTTCGGACTCTGACATGAGGTAGTGGAGGGAGGGGAGGGGCTCGGGGTTGAAGACGGAGAGGGGGTTGCGGGGGGTGAGGGAGAGGTCGTCGCGGGTGGAGGGGAAGGTGGGCAGGGGGGACGTGCGGGGGGCGAAGTGGTGCTGCACCATCTCGTCCTTCAAACGCGCGATCTCGCGATTCGCAACTGATCCACACACATGCAAGGAGGGAGGGCAGGCATGGAAACACCGTCATGTGTGTTATGGTGCGTCCCTCCCTGCGTCGTGTGTGTGGATCTGGCTGCCGTGTGTTGTGTACCTCGAAGTGAGGTGGTGGCGACGTTGAGTGACTTGCGGTGACGGATGGCGTCCATCACTGCAGGCAGGCAGTATCATCAACACGAAAGCAACAGAGCATCAGACACGCCTTTCCTCCATCTCTCCATCTGTTGTATGTGGTCTGTCTGTCATCACCCCCCACGTAACGTACCGTCTCCATCTTTGAGTCTCTTAGCGAGTTTGATGGCCTCCTTGAGCGCCTCGTCCCACTTGTCCAGCGCGCAGTCGCTCGGCATGTGCAGCGCGAACTTGGGGAACTCGGCACGCGCAAACGCCTTGAGCAAATCCGCGTCGCTGGACGTGTAACGGGACACACCTGTCGGGCGGGGCGCACACAAAGAGGCGGACAGGACAACGAGGTGTGGTGTGTGTGCACGACGGCAACAAGTAAGGGTATGTATGTGTCTGTGTCGTACCCTCAGGTGGCTCGAAGACGAGAAGGCAGCGCGGATAGCCTGACGGAGGCAGGCCCAGTGCGCGAACAAACAGGGGTGAAACGCCCGATCATCTGCGTGTGTGTGCGGTGTGTGTCGGTTATCTACCGAGGAAGTTGTCAGGTTTCCAGATGACGGTCTTGGGCGTGATCCACTTGACGCCCCGGGGCGAGTCGGGGCCGCTCCCGGCCAATGGGTCGCTGTACACCAGTGTCGTATTGTACAAGTACAGCTTCCGCATCGCCCAGAAATCTGAGTGACACACACACATACAACAACACCGCAACCACACACAACACAATTCCACACACCGGCTGTGTCTCGGCATGCAAGATGCCGCGAGTAATGTGCCCCTCTGTGGCCGTCTGTCTGTGTGTCTGTGACTCTCCCTCCCTCCCGTCCTGTCCTCACTGACTGACTCACATGGCCAGCTGTCGCCGCGCTTCAGCACCCGCCCCTCCTTGTAGATGATGCCGAAGTGCGCGTCGCGCTCGAGTGTGAAGACAGCGCAGCTGTCCATGAAGGACGCCGTGGTTTTGGGCGACACCGCCCACTCCGGCACCCACTCCTCATCAGTCACTGTCACCGATGGCCGGCAGTAACTCGAACCGCTGACGCCCATATCGCACAGATCGCACACGGGGAAACACGCGCACCTCCGCCCCGACGACTGCGCACACTCCTGCACACTCCTCCTCGGCAACGGTTCTCACGCAGGCTCGCAAGTTCTGCAGCTCTAAGCGCGCAAAAGAGGTGCCTAGGGAATGAGGAATGGAGGCTGAGAAGGTGGTGGCGCTACCACTTGTGAGATCTGAAGACTCTGACGCAGAAATGGGAAAAGAGAAAGACGATGGCCAGGCAGATGCCTTGCCTTCCCTAGCGCTCCCACGAGTCTTCCCCTCTGTTTCCGTGGCTTTCTTCCTCTTCGGCATCTCCTCGTGGGTGTCTATCAAGTACAACACACACACACACACGCACGCACACACAGACATGCACACACCAAGGCACACACCGGGGACCATGCCGCCTCACTCACATGAGTTGGCCTGCAGTGGTTTGTGGACGCAAGTTGCGCTGCTGATCAAGACGCTGCCGGAAGGCCTTACCATCACCACATGGATGACACTTGCAATACAAATCGGCAACTTCCTGCCACTGATGATCCTTTTCGAGCAAGTCAGCCAAGAGGGAGGGACACGGCACGCGACACAACACAACACACACAATGTGTGTCACCAATGTGTTGAATTTCTGTCTTCCGTCCGTCCATCCATCCATCAGGGTCGACGTTCCCTTCGCGGGCTGCGTCGTCTGCCTGAGTCCACTATCATCATCTCCCTCCTCGTCATGGGCATCTTGCTGCTCCTCTTTGGCAGGTGTGTGTGTCACCAACATGCTCTCATGCTCTTCTCATTGTGGCTGGGCTGCCATGCCATGCCATGTGTGTGCTCATCATCTGTGGCGCCCCCCCTGTGTTGTGTGCAGTGTGGGTTGGCAGTGGCAACTCGTCATAGGAGGAGGCCCTGGGAGCAGCAGCAGGCTCCAGCTGGTCAAGATGTCAGCGCCGCATGGCCATGATAAGGAAAACCGAGTCAGTGTTGTGCTGCTGCTGGTGGTGCTACTCATCGGTGAGTGAGTGAGCTGCAGGGGACAGCACGTGGGATTGGCTGCTTGAGCTCACCCAGATGGATGTGTGTGTGTGTGTGTAGGTGCTGGTGACTGCGCCACGTCAATAGTGTACTGGCCGTTTGTGCTGCAGTACCTGCCGGCGTATCTCATCGCCTTCTCGGCGGGCGAGGCAGCCAGCGGATCGACAGCAAGCATACTCGCCCTTCTACAAGGTAAGGAAGCGGGCGTGAGCCCGTGTGTAGTGTACATCAGCGCGCTGACATGGAATCCGCGTGTCCCCATGTTTTGACCCATCAATCACATCAGGCCCTCCCGCCGCCCACAAGTCGCACCTGCGCCTGTCCTTCGAGCTCTTCCTGGTGGCCTTGGCGTGTGTCATGAGCATCTCCCTCATCGCCTACATCTACATCCTGAGGTCGCGCAAAGCCAAGATGGGCACTACAGCAGCCATACACCCGTCACCAGCACTTGCCCGCTCCCCATCGGGCATCGCTGAGAGCGACTCCAGCACACCCGTGTGGAGGGACGCCGACTCGCTGACGGCCAGCTTTCACATCGTGACCACCAATGGCGGGGGTCAGCAGAAGGAGGAGAAAGAGGGCGATCGGCTGCTGGATGTGTTGCAAGGGGGAAGGGGCGAGGTGACTGCGACAAACGAGGAGAGTGAGGCTGCTGGCGCTGCCGGTGCTGCTGCTGGGGGCGAAGGGGACAGTGGTGTGGCGAGCGGTGGTGGTGCTTTCCCGTTTGAGGTGATTCTTCGCTTCTGGCCGTCGTTTGGCTTGATGGCCATATTGAACGCACTTGGCAACGGGTGAGTGAGTGGGGAGGGACGACAACCAGGCGTTTGTTTCAATCATGCATGTTTCTCTCTCTCTCTCTCTCTCTCTCTACCTGTGCGTATCTTTTCTTCTCCTCTCTCTCAGGGTGTTTCCCGCTCTGAGTTCGTTTGCCTTTGCGGCTTACAACAACGGCAACACGGCCCTCTACTACGCAGGCATCGTGTCGATCTTCCTCTCGCCCCTCTCAGCCCTCCTCAATCGATGCACCACCGTCGGAAGGCCCCCCACACAGCCTGTCAAGCAGCAACTTGCTGACGAAGACGCCGCGCCGCCCTCTTCTCAGTCTCTGTCGACCACAGCCGTCACACCATCCACCGACACCAGTGTGGGCAGCAGATGGTGGATTGCCTCCATTGTGGCTCGCCTGAGGGGCGGGGGGCGCGCCAGCGCATCTGCACGGCGGCTGGAGGGGGAGCCGCTAACGGCTGCCGACTGCGAGGCGACGGGCGAGTGCGCCACTTCTGCTCAAGGAGGCATGCTCTTCCCTCTCGTCTGGTGTGTGTACGTGCTGGTGGCCTGCTATGCCCTATCGAGCAGCCTGGTCTACCCCAAACCCCTGTTCGGCCTTGTGGTCAACGGGGCGTGGGTGATGATGTCGGCTCAAGTCGCCCTCAAGTGCCTGGCTTCCTTCCTCAAGACACACGTGTGGCGGCACCTACAGGCCTCGCTTGACAGCCAGCAAGACGCCGATGCCGCCCCCGCCACCCAACAGGACCGGCCGTCTGCAGCTGACAAGGACAGCACTGCAGCGAATGACCGGTACGGCACGTTTCGCCAGGATGGGTCGACAATGCGCTTCCGGGGACAGGTGGACGGCAAAGATGGGGAGGGGGGGACGGCTGACAAGGGTGAGACTCTTCCTGCTGCTGTGGAAGAGCCTGTGGCGACATCCACCACTACCACCACCACCACCACTGCAGCCGTCATGCGGCGGGAGGCGCCAGCACGTCATCATCGGAAGGTGACGCCTCGTGACCTGGGAACAATTGGTGGGGTGGTCATTCAGGCATCCAGTTTTTGCGGTGCCATTGTTGGAGTTCTGCTGGTGAAGCTGTGGATAGCCCATTGAAGACGTGTGGACGAGTGGGTGTCTTGTTGAATTGTCGCCGACGGGTGACTATGTATGTGTGTGAGTGTAAGGCTGACTCCATCTAGGGAGCTTTTGTTGTTGGTGTCGTGTGGTGTGGTGTGGTGTGATGCGTTTTTGATGAGAGTGAGAGCCCAAAGGGACTGACTGATTTGCGATTTGCGACAAAGTGAGACCCCAGATATACATGCTACAGTGATGGGTGGATTCCTGCACTGCATCAAGTGGGTGCCGTGCTCGCACTCACGCCGGTGTCCGTTTGACCCTTGCCAGTGTGGGTTCGTCCACGGCTCCAGCCTTGCAGGCAGACCAACAAAGTGGACCCCATGGCGGTTAAGTCACGTGTGCAATTGAATTGCGATAACACAAACGTCCATTCGTGCAGGCAGGCAGGCAACAGCACATGGTCTCCCACTCCCCTCCCCCTCCAATCCCCCC